CTACATTAACTAGCTGACATGCACTCAGACTGAACATAAGCAGCAGCTTTAGGTTTAATAAAGCACTAACGTGTTTGTTCTTCTACAATACAGTAAAACAAACATTGTAAAAGAGCACCGTACCTACTTAGCTAGTTAGCATGTCAGCTAACTGTGTCTCTACATTAATGTTGTTGTAGTTCTGGAGTCTGAATAAAACAGTCCTTTATCTACACCAGGGGTCTCACAGTAGCGGCCCACGGGTCTGCCATGAGCCTGATTCATTCATAATAACATACCGATAAATACACTCACACACACACACACACATTTTCTAAAGCGCTTATCCTGGGTCGTGGGGGGAGCTGGAGCCTATCCCAGTGGTCATCGGGCAGAAGGCAGAAAACACCCTGGACAGGTCACCAGTCCATCGCAGGGCAGACAAGCAGACATATACATTCACACCCACACTCACACCTAGAGGCAATTTAGGCGATAAATACAGCGTGTCAGAAATAAAATATGAAAATGTGTCCCTGCTAAGTTCCTAAATAGTTAGCTATAAACCACAAAACAGTATTTTACACTGTTACCCACTCTCTCTCAACATGCCAGACAGTATTTAAAAACATTCACTACTGCTGTTTTGGATCTTCCACTTTCTGGCTGTGGACAAACTCTAACAAAACTTTCACATAAAAGCCAACAGCTGTCATCAGCTGATGCTGCCAGTGTTTATGAGATGAGCTACATGAACTCACTGAGACTGTTTTTTTGTCACAGCATGATAAACAGGGCATACACAGCACCATAATGGCAGCATAGTAACCACAGTGTTGGCATGTCTCCACTATGAGCACATTTTTTGAGACAAAACAGTAGAAAGATTTCTTACACACACGTCAGTCAGTCTAGCTATAGCACACTGCTGTGGCAAGCATAGAAATGTTTTTTTATCTTACTTCTGATGATGCAGCTCACTGTCAACAAGGATTTTAACTCAGGTGGTTAACATTTTATATTTTAAATTGGTGGGTCTCTGTCTTTGTTCTTCTTAACTAACTATAGATGCAACACTGCTGTGCCTCAGGGTGGCACTGTGGCAAACTGGTTCACCCAGTTGGTCCTTCATGGCCTAGCAACTGTAACTATGCCTGATAAATCTCAGAAAAATATTGCATATTTGAAAATTGGAAAATTAACTAAATGAAATTTAACTAAACATTTTTTTTGCCACTGAAGCTAGCATCAGTGCTGCTATGAGTTAGCAGTTAGCCAACATGGGACCCCCGAATACCAGGGGGTATTTTGCACACTGCTTGTAGGTCTGCTTTATGGCTGTTTTGACTGGAAAAGAAATACATGGAGGGTGGTCTCTGATTTTTGCACAGTACTGTACATGAACTCATTAAGACTCCTGAGATTCTGTATTATTTAAAGAGAAATTTTCTGATATGTAATGCAGGATGATGTTTTATGGTTGTAATACACCTCTACACTTTAAACACTTTAATAATAGAAATAAAGTGAGAAAGATGCCACACTCACCTGATACAGTCAGTGTAACAGCTTCACTGGTGTGTGTGTATATTCGGCCTGTTGACTGTGTTCCCTTACAGGTATAAACACCTGCATGAGACTGATCAACATTAGAGATTTCATATTTCTTCCTTTGAGCATCTCTGAGAAGATTATTATTCTTATACCATTCATAATTCCAGTAATCTCCACTTTCTATTTCACATGTCAGAGTGACTC